GGCACTTCCGCATGAAGCACCTGATGGGATGCTGCAGAATGACAGTGGTGGTCATGTGGTTTGAAGAAACTCTGCCTCCGCATTCTAGCTCAAGTGACAAAACACTAAAAATTCATCTCCTTTAGCTTAATATTCATGTATCAAGCAGCCGTTGGTTCTAGGTAAGTAACCTTCAATGCTCTGAAATTATCGGTTGTTCCAATTACGCTGACTCTTGTATTTATCAATTTAGTAGAGTCAGATCTAATAGCTCAGCGACTTTGTACTCCTGCAGTCATCAGCTTCTCAGAGAATGCAGGTAAACGCTTTTGTGGGCACCGGAGGTCTGCACCATCTTCACACTAAACCTTTGTCTATGTATTTTCAGCTTCTTGGGTGACTCTTCTTGTGTTCAATCTGCCCATATGTTAAGAGATTAGTTAGGAGGGAAATTCTATGATTTTCACTATTAGGCTTTTACATTACAGAGATATATAAATGTCTACTTAAATGTGCAGAAGGGAAGATTTGCTGGCTTCATACCCACCCCCATTACCTGCAGCAACAGCCCAGGGCGTCTCATGGCCTCTAAGGTGAGCCACCAGGCTCTTGGAAGTCCGGCTCCGCTGGCACCGAGCAGCGTATAAACATGGGTTTTACCTGGGCGTTGCTCCCAGGGGCCCTTCTCCCCAGCATGACCAGCGGCATCCAAACTAGAGGCTGCATTTTGGGACGTGTACTTCTCTCCTCTGGGAGTTGCCTATCCATTAATCAAGGGCCACTGCAAAGCACCAGCCCCTTGGGTTGCAGTGTGGTCTGCGTCAGCCTGAGTGACTCAGTGATTCGCTCTGACTGTGCCTTCTCTACCTCCCCTGGGCTCAGCCGCCATCTGACTGCTTCAGAGAAGTTTGTAAAGATCAGGATCAAAATTCAATGTTGTAGTGGATATTTTAAAAAAGAAAACTTTTGTCTTTAACTTTTATTCGTTAGCTGGGCCAGTTCATGAGACAGTGAAAGCGTGAAACAGATGGTGTTAAGATTAATATTGAGTGTTTTAATTCATAATTTTCATTTCCACATCAATATATTATTTTTAACAAAGATGATGACCTGGTGGCCACAAATTACTTTGTGTATATATTTGGTAAAAAGACTGAGGAAAA